CACTTTACTTTTTCTGTTCAAAAATTTCTAATCGCCAACATGAAAAATCCAAAAATAGCACTGTTTGAAAAAATCATGTTATTTTTTTTGCGTAGTGTATGGTAAAACTGCATGTATCTACTAAAATAGTATCAAAGCGTATGATTCGAACGCTAATGCAGCCGAACGAAATGTTTTGTTTTAATTCCAACGCACATTGATTTGTTCTAATTTGAAAAACATAAATACATATCAAAAATAATCTTCGAAATAAACTTGATAGTGTTTGAGACCAAAATTTATGAAAAAAAAATTCTGTTTGCGCTATCAACAAAATAAAAAATATATACAATAAGCGAAATTTAAGAAGCAGTTGGCTAAATATATATATCAGATGAATAACCGATTTATTCCAAGACAAAACTGCGGTTTATTCGATATTCGCCAAAGTCACGATTTCAAAAATACACCGCGTCAATCAGCCACATATCTATATATGTGCAAATAATACAAACATATGTAAAAAATTTTATTACCACACTTAACATATTTATAAGTAACTACGATCTTGATTGATGAAAAGAAGTTAGCATGACTTCGGAAACTTTCCCTTTTGCGCATTTCTTGTGGCACGCAAGCGCACGCACTGCTAAACTTGGTCGGTATGGAATATGCACATAAATATGCTTTCAATAATATGCACATAAAAAGACGGGCAGGGCAACCTGTTAAACGGCATTCATTCAAAAGCAAACAAAACAAACCCAAAGCAATCATCACTAAGGGTCGCCGCCAAATATCTTCAATCTTGAATGAAATTCTGGTCAAGTTCGTTACCTGTTGCATGCGAAAGCCTTCTCTTAATTATTCTCACTCTTACCATTTATCACACATTCGAGAGACTGAAAGTTTTTGCTCGTTTTGAAATGCGCAAAAACTATGCTGCAAAGTAATCTGTATGTGAATGTCTTTTTTTTCTTTATTGCGAAATCTGTGGAACAGGTTTGTAATTTCAAATTATATCGAAGAGATACTTGATTGTTGTTTTGCGCTGGAATATGCTGCAACAGGTTCATTGGGATGCAATAGCAGATTGAGTTTTATGTTGCAAAATTAAAAACGTTTTTGTGAAAAAGTCTAAAATACTTAAACTTATCAAAGATAATCAGAATAGGCCTTCTCGATCATCTAACTAGGTCCCTAATATTGTTAGGTGGGGTGATATACATACATTCTGTTAAATAATTTTATAATCCATAGGAACAGAAGGGACCATTTAGATTTGTATGGAAATTCGTTAGTGTTTGATATACATATACATATGTAGAGAGTAAAACCAAAACAAGCATTCATAGGTTCCTTCAAAAACTAAAATGACTCGACTCTGGAGCCACCTATTGCGTGTTATTAACCTGTATTTGAAGCAAATCGGACCATAAATAAACGTTTCTGGACTAATTCGGATCTTGCGCTACGTATAGAAAAAAAAAAACAAACACATTGAGCATCTCGCCTTTGAAATTCCATTCGAACAAGCGAAGAATAGTTCAAATCGATTTAGAAACATAGGCGCAGTAGAGAGGAATAAGTATACAAAAATGAGTTATCCATGTTTAATGAGTTGTCTAAATTTATAGACACAGAAAATTAGTTGGCGAAATTTACGGATAGTTATCAAGCTATACAAATTGCTGGGAATATCGAAATTTGTTAAGCTATCGATATTTATTGCATTACCAATATTTATAGAGTTTTTGTAATGCATGGAGTTCTTTGAACTTATCGAATTATCGATATATATATATTTACTGAAAATTGTCAATTTATCGAATCGAAGTTTTTGGAATTTTCAAAATATATCGTGCTCTGGAAATTTCGAGGTTATATAGGTTTATCGAGTTTTTACTGCTTATCGAACGTCATCGTGCTAACAAAGAAATTTGTCGACAGCTTTCTAAAAATATGTTAGTATCAAAATTAACCGAGCCTGTCGAAATTTATAGAGGTATCCATAGTTTATCGAGTTATAGATTTATATACATTTGGAGTTATCCAAATTTATCAAGGCTATAAACGCACAGTTATCGAAATTAGTCGAGATACCAGATTATGTTCAGTTAACAGATTTTAGTGTTTTTGAAATTCATAGAATTTATCGACAAACTGGAATGTATCGGGTATATTCCAAGTCCTGCTAAAGTCCTTCAAAGATATAAAAAAAATAAAGTCAAAGCAAAAGACTTTCCGGTGAGTAATATTGTACATTATAAGCATGGGCGTAGCCAGGTAGGGG